GCAGGGGTTCATAGGGTTTATGAACCCCTGCTGTATTATTATAATAATTATTATGTGTGAGCATCCAAGTGAAATAATGAAGGCCATATTGTGACTGTCGTTTCGTTTGAGGGGGGAGGGAGTGGGGTCAGGCTCGAAACTCACGGTCTTCGTTTCGGGGGCTTCTGCGAACTTTTGCGATGGTCCCTTAATTGGTACGAATTTTCTCAAAAATGATTTTCTGTTGTTCCTGTGATGTGTTGTTGAGTTACTCAGTTTGGGGACACAGCGTTGGATGTAGCCAGGGAAAGGAAGCATGAGGGATGTGTGCAGTTGCTGGTGGATCACGAGACTGCGAAGGTATGTTGAATAGACTTGACTGTGAGTGACTGAATTTAGATGTACTGTGTGTATACAGTAAACATTGCAGCGTGTCGTACATTTGATTGGTTGAACTATGCAGTGACTAGGTGTCACGTGAGTCAAGTGAGGTGCACCTACCACCACCATGTCCTACATTTGTACAGCTGTCTATGAGATCAAGATTACGTAAACACGAGAGTGTGTAACTCCGCTTGGTCTGGCCATGGCGGTATGTTTCGTTTTGTTGACTTTTCTGGAGATGATGAGTCATACCGTACGAGGCATGTACTACGAGTCTGTGGGCGCGTGAGCTTGTACAGTTTTCATTAGGGGTCGTCCAAAAGAGGTTGCACGGGCCGTTGGTGTGTGAGCGCCATTGATTGCACTGCGAAAGAAACGATCGACTCTGTACGAGCTCTAGACTTTTGTACAGATTCCAGGACGCGCTCGATGCGTCTTGAGAAAGGCGTGCAGTGATGTGCTGAACACAGCGCTGCCCAAGTGGGACAAAAACAAAGCTGGTGATCGTCAAGCGCCTCTTTTCGCAACGTTGTACAACGATGTTTTGAGGATGACCCCCTCCAGATTCGAATCGCGAATTGGTGGACTTGAAGATTTTTTCTGCAAAGTCTCAGCAACATCCATGGACCAAAGAAGCCAAGCTCTGGCCAGCAGAGCCTGGATGGATTTTTGCAAAGCATTCTTGCGACGGCGCAATTCCTGTTCCAAAAGGAAACAGTAGGAGTGATCAAGTCGTTGCCAGTCCAGTTCGGAGCGGACTGACATTCCGCCCGACGCGGAGGTGCCAGTACCTGTTGTCAGTGAGCAGCCAAAACATGATGAAGAACAGCATGATATGCTCCAATAAAAATGGGGGGGGGGATGAATGCAGCAATCGACCTAAACTATATCCTACTCTGTGCACCAAGCGCTAAATTTGGTGCCGGCTGGCTTTTGTAGGGTATCACTGCATTTGATCAACCAGACGCCAACTGCATGTGATAATTGAGACCATTTGCAAGCCGTGAAACGGCAAGACGAATGAGGAAACTGTGTTAGAATCTAGGGGTGAAACGAGTATCTATTTTGACCAATCGATCACTAATTCATACTATTCGATCGAGTATCCGATTATTTCGAGTATTTTATCAAAATTCAAAAGCGCTAGATTTGTGAGTTCTTGACTAATTCGGAAGAAATTATCTGTGAACATAGAACAAAAGTCGCCAACGTCTTGTACAGAGTGTAAAGTAACGCTTTTCGCCAGTACTTTCATTATCTCATAACAAACTAACGTTACTTGCCGTGGTGAACGCATCGTCTAAGTCATACAATACTGACTCAAAGGCATGCATAACGCATGCATAACAGTCGAAGATCGGTATAACAGAAGTATTTGAAAAACAGAATGCCAATACTTTAAAAAACTAAAAAACAAAAAACGATCGAGTGCAAAATTTTGAATACTCGCTCGTTTGAAATTTTTGAATGAATACTCAAATATTCGAACTAATTGTTTCACCCCTATTAGAATCCCATCCTGACCACGCGAAGCACACTGGTGTTTGATGAGTTCGGAGGGGTCTACTCGTCATGACCGCAACGAGTGGGTTTTTTTTAATCCAGTGCGTGCGATTTCAACAAGGATACGGAGAATGCGCAGTAAATTGCGCCTCTTTTTGTGACTTTGCTCAAATTTCAAGGCAAGGCACTATCTCACTACACAAGTGACATTTGCTTATACTTGGTCCACCAAGTTACAATCGGCGCTTATGTTCTGCCTGTGTCATACCGCATGGAACCACCGATTCACCATCCGAACATAACAATACACCATTGCATCCGCCAACATGGCAGCACAAACCACCACAGAAGTTGTGATCGGTTCGTTTGAATCTTTTTGACTGGAGCTGCCACCGACGAACACTTCCGTCACCGCAATAATAGGCTGCAACCTCCGGTCCAGTCCGTAAAACAGGTCAGGATGTTCACACTTCAAAGCGATGGCGAATACAGTTTCTGCCTACTTCCAGCTGTCTGGTGGCAAGGATGGGTTTTCTGCGGGGAGGTAAAGAAAAGCTGAAAAAGCGCATCGCTAGCTGGAATTTGAATGCTCGCACTGTACAGCGCCTAGTGAAGAGTTATCACCAGCAAATCACCGACGAAGAAACTACAGATCATATCGACATGTCCAGAATGCGGGACCAATCCGGTAGACACACGCTGAAGCTCACAGAGGACTTGGCTAAGGAGCTGATCAAAATAAACACCAACTCCTGAGGGAAACTCTGTCTCTCTCTCTCTCTCTCTCTGTCTGTCTGTCTCTCTCTCTCTCTCTTTCTCCGCCTCTCTCTTTCTCTCTTTCTCTCTCTCTGTCTCTCTCTCTTTCTCTCTCTCTCTCTCTCTCTCTCTCTCTCTCTCTCTCTCTCTCTCTCTCTCTCTCTCTCTCTCTCTCTCTCTCTCTCTCTCTCTCTCTCTCTCTCTCTCTCTCTCTCTCTCTCTCTCTCTCTCTCTCTCTCTCTCTCTCTCTCTCTCTCTCTCTCTCTCTCTCTCTCTCTCTCTCTCTCTCTCTCTGACAGAGACAGACAGACAGAGAGAGAGAGAGAGAGAGAGAGAGAGAGAGAGAGAGAGAGAGAGAGAGAGAGAGAGAGAGAGAGAGAGAGAGAGAGAGAGAAAGAGCATGTCTAACACATATGTGTGATTTGTGCCTCTGTTTTTTTCTGACTCTCTATGAAGGAGGCCAAACAGCTGCAGGCAGGTAAGTGACAAATCAATTCTCAAACTTCTTTTCCGCCAAAAAGTTACGAGTTATGACCAGTGATGCACACCAATAGTCGAATAGTAATAAAGTTCGTTCGAAGAGCTGTATAATCATGTTCTATGTTTGGCATGCATGCTAGTTTTTGTTCGAGTACATGTGGACCCTGCGCTAGCGGCAGTAGAGCTAGGGTCGCTGCTACAGATTACAGTACAGCGGTTACCGTACGTGTACTTGACGAATCCGGCCTGTGTGAGCGCGCGCCAAACAGTTAGTAGTAGTAACAATACAGTGCCGGCACTGTAGTACAGTTGCAAAGGACACGTGTAGTTGTACAAAGGCTTAATTCGCTCATCGCAGCACGCTCACTGTGTTCTTGCATCGTAGAATGTGCAACAGTCACTGCAATTGAGCAACAAACGACATCATCAACATATTGTCGCTTGCCGCTGCTGATGCCCAGTTTGACTTACGCGCCGTTTGTAGTTTGCACCTTCACAAGAAATACTTATGTTCTTCTTCGTAGTTTGTAGCAGTTCCCGGTTAGTTTCGAATCGTATCAGTCCGCTTTGCTTAGTTTCAAGTCAGTAGAAATTCGTGATGTCGGATCGTAAAGCTAGCTCCGTGTGGGAGAGTTTTGAGAGACTTGAGACTTCTGTTTCCGATGCAAGTCCACAAAATAATTCATCCTGCGCATGGAACGCTAGGATGTAGTCTTCTTCCGCTCCGAAGTACATTAGCGTCTTCCTTCGATACATCGTTGACGATCCGTTTTAGGAGACTCAGTGCAACATGGAATCCAAACTCAAACGAATAAACTTTCATGTACTTGCAACAAAGAGTTGCATCCAGAACAGTTCAGTCTACCGAGGAGAACAAGAACAGCAACTCGCGTCGCACTCAACTTCGTATTTTGTTGTCGCGGAATTCGAATCGCGATTTTCTCGACTTTTTCCACAAAAGCTGTGGTCATGTGTTAGCACGCGCTGGCTCAAATAAACAAGGAAGTATAGTGTGCTGAAATGGGCTCGTCTGTAAGGGTAGAATAGTAGAATATTTTTCGTACTGTGCATATTTGTTAGAATATTCGTTCGTGACTTTGCTATTCTTTGCAACATTGGTAAATAGTGATTTTTAGGTGAACAGGGCACATTTCAGTGCTCTTTTATTGCATGTTTTTTGGATGAATTGGGCGCAGCATCCGGGGCGAAAAGTGGTACAAGCATGGTGGTGCTGGTGGTACCGTGTGTGACGCCCCTGGACTCTGAAACCCAGTGCCTCAACTGTAGCAACACCATAACAGGTGTCTCCTGTCTGCCAATATTCCGGTGATGGAGTGGTTATTCTGCTCGAAGCAATGACTTTCAGACACACCCGTGACCGTAAATTTGCGAGTCAAGCGGGCTTTCTCATAATACGAGTGCATGCAGTGAAGATGCACTCTCACTTGTTTTGCATTCCTGTTGCCTGTACTGTATGATTTCTTGCTAGCAATACAAAAGAAACAACAAACTGTAAATGTCACCTGCAGTTACACAACATTTTTTGATGTGTGCTGTGCTTATCGTTGTGCCCAGGAGATACTGCTGTTCTGCCAAGTATCAGTGACCTCGAAGCAGCAGAGCAGGAGGCAGCCAGGTTGGGCGGTACGACCGTCATCCATTTCCTGCACGTGGCAATACTTGGTGCGGCGCGCGTTGGAAAGACCAGCTTGCTGAAGGCGTTGCTTGAGAAGATGCACGATGAGAATGAACTCAGCACGCCCGGCATGCGCACGTCCTACGCAACTACAAACATCTCTGATGACTGTCGATTCATCGAATGCCCAGACATGCAAGATGCTCTGAGTCGACTCTACGTCATCACCATGATACGCACACCATCCACTTCGAATCATCCCCAAGACAAAGAGACAACACAAGATGACAGAGAGAGAGCCCCAGCAGGAGAGGATCCTGTGGCTGGGACCCGTCCAGGACCTATGGAGGCCAGCAGTAGCAGTAGCAGCAGCAGCAGCAGCGACGGGCCAGCAATACGCGAGGAAATCCACGAGACCATCACAGGATTTCTCAACGCAGACCGGGTAAAGTACATCTCTGACCGGGCCAACACGCCCGATTATACCGTCATCACATTCCGCGACCTTGGAGGGCAGCAAGTCTACCAATCCGTGCAGCCCCTCTTCATGGCCAGAAACACAACCTTTATTGCCACATACAACTCTTCTCTGGACCTTCTAGAGACCCTTCCCAAGCTCGATGAATTACAGGTCAGCCGGGAAGAATGTATCGAGCGGGCCACTCTACCGGCCAATGCGACTCGCCTAGACCAGCTGCTCGGCTGGCTCGACATGCTGCTGCTGAATGCGAAAGCTGACAGCAGCACAGACCAGAGTGCTGCAGATGATGTGTTTGTAGTGGGGTGTCAGAGTGACAAGCGGAACAAAACCGATTTGCCTGATCCTAGTGAATTACTTCAAGAGAATATAGAAGGTTCACGGTATAAGAACATTGTCTGGAACGAAACATCGTACTTTGAAATCGACAACACCAGATCCGCTGGAAGTGCAGCACAAGCAGATGAGCTGCAGCGATTGAGAGAGGCCATCATCGACCGCTGCCAGAAGAGCCAACGTAACATCCCTGTTCCATGGCTCCGATTTTGCATATCCATGCACACGCTCAAGCAGGAGGTCACGTGGCCTTGGATTTCCTTCAAGGAGGCAAAGTTCATAGCGAAGCAAGTCAAGGCTGTTCCACATGACTGCAGTGACCGGCAAATACAGCTGCTGCTGAAGTACTGCCACGAAGCAGGCCACCTGGCGTACTTCCCAACTTTCAAGCTGAAAGACACAGTCATCCTGGAGCCCCAGTTCATCCTGGACTGTGTCAATGCCTTTGTCTACATGAAGCTTGACCGAGACATCACAGTGCACGAAGCGCGGCGCTATAAGTCTGGGTTCATGACGGAGTCCCTGGCACGCAAAGCTCTCAACAAGATGTTCGAGGGTCAGTCTTACTGCGACCATGCTAAGGCGTGGCAAGCAGTCAGAGCAAGCAGTGATGGGTTCAAGCTCATTTTTGAAATCCTAGAATGGCTCTCAGTCCTGGTAATTGTGCAGGATGAGCACGAGTTTATTGTACCTGTAGTCGTCCGGGACATGGGCACGGACCCACAGCCGCCTGGTTCCTGTGCCTACGTGTCCTTGAAGCACTCATACCGCGATGAGTTGATGCATTTTCCCGTGTTCCTGTACTGGCAATGCGTGGTGGAGGTGCTGCTGAAGTCACACAAGCGCTCGGCTGCCAAGCTGTCACGGTGCAGCGTCCGCCTTCGCTGGAACAGAGATTGGCCGTGGCTGCACCTGCACTATACACGCTACGGCTTACAAGTGTACGTCGAGTGCAAGGGCCGACACGGCGGCAGCGGAAAGTCTACGCTGGATGAAGTCCGGGCAATCGTGCTCACAGTGCTACAGAAGTGGGGCCTGCAGGTCGAAGTGATCAGCACATTGCCATGCCCCTGCGGAGAAACATCGGACGAGGAGTGTTTACAGCATGGCTTATCTACGTGCTGCGCACCAAGCTGTGCGCACGCCTTGGACGCTTCCACCCTAGTGGCTGAAGACTACCCACTGTGTACACGTTCAGAGCCGGATATACAGATGATTCGTGAGCAGGCCATATTCTGGCTGGGCCTTGACCAGGTGAGAGACTTGACCTGATTGAATTCCCGCAGCTGTGCAAAAGACGTTACGTTAGTAGCGCCTGCCGCTAGCTTTAGTTCATATGTTTTTGTGGGGGGGGGGGGGGCACAAACAAAAGACAAGTTCCACCAAGCCTTGTTGTAATTCTGTGTTATTTCTGTTTAGGAGGAGAGTTCTTCACACACAAAGTTGCACCATGTCTCTATTTTCTTAAAACTTGCCACGTATTCCCGTCATGTGGATGAGGAGATAACCATTTTGAGCCTACTCTGACTTCGGCGATTATGGCTTGTGCGTGTGCGTGTTTGCATGCATGTGTGCTTTTGCTCGTGTGTATTTACATGTATTTGTGTGTGCATGTGTGTGTGTGTGTGCATGCGCGTGCGGGTGTGTGCGTGCGGGTGTGGGTGGGCATGTGCGGGTGTGTGTGTGGGTGTGTGAGCGTGAGTGCGGGTGTGTGTGTGTGCGTGTGTGGGCGTGGGCATGTGCTTGCGTGTACTTGGTCTCTTGCAATACCTGCAGGATGCATGTGGAAGGCTGTTTGACCCGAGATCGACCTCTCTTCCTTCAGGTTAGTTGGATGCACAATTCAAACAGATCTGCTACTTCCAAATGATGTTTTGCATGATGTCCGCATTCGTGTGAACCTTTAGTCGCAAGGAAACCGGTACGCTGTTCTATTTTCGTTTTGAGGTAGCTATTCCCGTTCAGGTATTGCACACTGCATGAGCACAGGACCATATCTGCTGTGGATAGAATGTAAAATTTGAGCCTCTTCTCACCGCAAGCTGGTGTTTGATCCCAGCCAACACTGCAGTTCTGACTCTGTTTTGGGCCCTGGACAACTGACATTACATTGTCATAGAATTGCTATGGGGTCGCTGTCATATTTTGTCGCCCTGAAGCGAACATCGTTCGTGGAAGAGGAGTAGGAGGGTGCGAGGTCGAAAATCATAACTTGCTCTACAATGCACTACGTATACATGCACTTGATTTGTGGTGTCCAGCATTGCAAACTGTGTTCATTTTGGAGGAGTGAGGGGTCCGTCCGAGTACGAAATGAACCATGTTTGTTTCAGTGGCGACAATAAACTTCTGCAACAAACCGTGTGTGCGTGCCCACCTTTGTGTGTACATGTATACATTGCATCTGCATGTGTGTGTGTGTGTGTGTGTGTGTGTGTGTGTGTGCGTGCGTGTGTGTGTGTGTGTGTGTGTGCGTGCGTGTGTGTGTGTGTGTGCGTGTGTGTGCGTGTGTGCGGGTGCGTGTGCATGTCTCTTGGCCACTCCAATGGCACGCCGTCTGTTTCCTTGCAGCAGAAGCCTGTGCCAGTGTGGACAGTAGAAGCGGTGGTCACGGTGCTCCAGGATGCGGTCATCACAGCGCTGGTGAAAGCGGTGTTCACGACGCTGAATTCATGTCGCTTGGTGCCATTGGGTTAGTGAAGGCTTTCCTCGCAGGTTTATAAAGAGGTCAAATACGTTGCCTTGGAGCTGACCAATCAACCGCTTTCATTAACGAAGTGTTCAGGGTAATGGAAACACTGACAACACGCTGCCTGAACATTTAGTTAGGGGGTCTTTTTGATCACAAAATGCTGCATTGCATTTCAAGGCTCTACTGTCCACGGGGGGGGGGGGGGGGATACTGTCCACTGGGGGGGGGGGGGGGGTGCTCTACTGTCCACTGGGGGGGGGGGCAGGGCACTTTACTGTCCACGGGGGGGGGGGGTGCTCTACTGTCCACTGGGGGGGGGGGGGGGCAGGCACTCTATAGTGTCCACTGGAGGGAGAGGCTCTACTGTCCACTGAGGGAGGCTCTTCTGTTACGGCCCTACCTAGAACGTGGACCTGTTTCTAGTTTTTGTTTCGTTCTGTTTTGTGCTGTTTTGTTATCGGTACCACTCTGCACTGCAGTGAAAAGACATTCGATCAGATTGCCGACCGGCATGCGTTTGTGAGCTCGATTGAACCGTTCATCGGTGGAGAGGAGAAAGGCGACGCAAGAGGTTGGTTGCTTTTGGACACCGTGATTCATGTGTATCTCAAAGATGCCGGGTGGTGAATATATTTTCTCCAGCAAGGGCACGGCAGAGTTTAAACCATGTGTATGTAGCGAATTTTGAGTAAACGTAGTTTGAAGTAGTTCTGGAGTCAACCTTTTTCTCTGGGAGTGTAGGAGCCGTTCGATTGCGGGCGAATTTCGGAGAAAATGAGCATGAGGCTGGTGGCCTAAATTCCCTTTGTATTTGAACATTCTCGGTGACGTCCAAATATACTGATTGTGTTGTTCAACCCGGCGAAAATATCTTCAGAGTCAGTGCCCCTGAGCTGGTTGAATTGTTTTGCAATACCCTCTTGTCACTGTATGCGCGTGTATGTGTAGACTTTGATGAGGAGGTGATGTCCTTGTACATTGTTTTTTTAACCAGTGTTCCTATTGAAGTCATGTTCCCTAAGAGTGGTACTGACTCCTGAGTACTTTTTTTGTTTTTATTGCCACGGCTTCCCTTGGCAACCCATCAAGTGCAGCATCAGCTGCAATGGGCATACGTAACCAAGGCGACTCCACTGCTTGATGCAGGTTGTTGTCAACTTGTTGTGTGAACTGGTGTTTTATCTCTGCCGATCATGACAGGGGAACGGCTAAGCACACCTGCGCAATCTTTTAATAATGTTTACATTAAATAAAGCTGTAAGGAAGTTGGTTGCTCTCACACTGCAACTCGCACTATTCCCGTCGACATGACTTGACCCTTGACTGACTCACCACTCACTATTTCAGTTTGGGAGCAACTAGCTTTCTTATACGATTATCACCGAGGCCGCTACCCCTCTCTCGTGTTAAATGAAGCTGGTTGTTCTTCAATGCAGTACATGCATCCACGCAATCCACACCGGTCCAAATGAACACTAGGAAATTTAGAACCAAACGTTTTCGTTCCCTTCTCCTCATGGACTCTTCCAGGGATTAAAGCAAAAATAACTATCTTCCTCTCCCCAAGCACCAGCAGCACTGTTAGCTGCAGCAGCATCAGCATCAGCAGCAGTAGCACCTTCACCAGTATCAGCACAAGCAGTGTAAGCTTCAGCTGCAGCATCAGCAGCAGTAGCACCTTCAGCATCATCACCAGTAACACCTTCACCAGCATCAGCAGCAGTAGCACTAGCAGTGGCAATTTCAGCTGCAGCAGTATCAACAGTAGCAGCTGCAACAGCAGCACCAGGATCTCCTACAGTGGAAATAGCAGTAAACACAATAGGGTTCTTCACATTCAACACCCAACAGAGGCTACGGGATTCTACGAGATTCTACGGAATTCCGTTCATCTGTACACCATACATTATGCTTATACAGTATGTGTATGTGTATGCTGACAAGTCCAGAAAGGATGAAACAGTTCTGTCCGTAGATTGGGTATATGTATGTTAAATACAGTGTTTGGTGTGTATAAAAGTATACATGGCATACTGAAATGGAGCCACATGCATGTAGCACAACAGTGATGTAGATGCCAAGAATCCTTGCCAGGTTAGCCATTGCCATGGTATAAGCGTACTTAGATCAACCACTGATGATGTACAGGTCCAGACTGGAGTGATGCACATCGACACTCTAGAACCTGGCTGTGTTAACCTAACGTATACGGCTGGTCATAAATCATTTTTTGTATGTTCATGTGTGTGTTTTTATCCCATGTATATCTTGATTAGACGAGGATGAGAAGTCGTACAGCGACCCATTCCAACAGCGTGAGTTTCTAACCGATATTTCGCCTTGGTTGGGCAAATTACCAGCAGGAACATTTCGTAAAATGGCGCAAGAGGCCGGGTTCTTCGCCGATCTGCAGCAGATAGAAGACTTGAAGAGGATTGAGAAACTATATGGAACACGCGCTCACAACGAAGCATTGGTCAACATTCTAAGCAGCGAGGAAAAGGCCGGCTACATCAAGCTAGTGTTGATCATCAAACTCTGGGGTAACTATCCCGACAAGGTCGACAAGATGAACCAGCTTCTGCCACGACGGGCCCATGTGTAAACGGTAGGTTGCATTCATTTCTTGCACTACCTGAATTCAAAATAAGTCATTGCAACGTACGTCTGTTGTTTGGCTGCGATGCTGTGTTTCTCATCAGATATTGTCCCAGCTGTGATAGAAAGTATACTGTTGAGGTATCCGTTATGGATGAATCAAATTGGAGAAAAGTCAAAGTTTCTGACGACTGGAAAATTGGAGCGCATGTACTACTATATAGCATATTTTCCGGAGTGCTAGTCGCATCTTAAAACGCCAGAGTTTTTTTTAGATTTGTGTGCATGAGTGTGGATTCAGGGTGTATGTGTGTGTGTGTGTGTGTGTGTGTGTGTGTGTGTGTGTGTGTGTGTGTGTGTGTGTGTTTGTGTGGTGTGTGCATGTGCATGTGCATGCGTCCAATCCATTCTAGCTCTGGTGTATACTATTATGTGATCGTCTTCGTATCTCTGTTTGCTCCATCACAGATTGAGGTGTCAAGCACTTCACGCAGCACGCACTGGTACTGTTCTCTCTCTCTTGCTCTCTCTCTCTCTCTCTCTCTCTCTCTCTCTCTCTCTCTCTCTCTCTCTCTCTCTCTCTCTCTCTCTCTCTTCTCTCCCCCCTCTCTCTCCCCCCTCTCTCTCCCCCCTCTCTCTCTCTCCGTTGTGTGTTCTCGATCTTACTGACTGGCTATGCTATTCATCAAATCCATTCTTCCTTAGTCACATTTGCCAAATGTTAGCTACGTTATGTTATGCTTGATCACTACCCCACTAAATATACGGAAATGAAATAGTCTAGTAGGTTAGACAGTAGAGACAGCTAATTGTAGAGGACCACACCAGGTTACTATGCCCGTTGCAGAATTGCTACTTATAGTCATGCAGATACATGAAACATTTCTTTTGAACTTTATGAATACATATACAGCAATGGAATATTTTTATTAGGCCAAGGAGGCCAAGGAGGAAATATAATTATTTTTGTCAAGTTACTTTTTTTTCGAAATCCCAGTCAAATTCAAATTCCAGTCACTTATAGATAATTGTACAAACTTATAACCGTGCAACTCAGAGTTACAGCAGAAACACTTTTGATTCCTCTCACGTGTGTGTACAAACTTATACACTTGATGAAATGCTCACTTACATTGTTACTGGTATGTCTTAGTGCTAGCTTGTAACTTGCTCATAACTACATGTACCGTAAAGTAGCACCAGAGCGCTCCACCATCTCCTACTTTCATGCTCGTATTGTGGAGCTGGTGTCCTGTCTACACACATCTTGTACAGTAGGTATCGGTTATAGCGTGGTGTTTGAAAAACGACTTTCTATTCTTATTTCCGATATTTCTTACACACGATACATCAAGTGTGACACCCCATTATGCATGTGCGCAGAGGCAGGAAGATCATCGTACGTGCAACGTAGTGCTACTGTGCAAGCGGCTGGTCATAGTCCCATAGGCTTACCATGTGGCTATCCAACAACATGAGTTACATGACCTTAGCATCCCCCCCCCCCCCCCCCACCTGACAACAGAGCAACCGAGTTTTGGATTAGGCTGGGAGTGCCGATTCCAGCAACTGGTATGATGGCTCTGCAGCTGAGCCAGCAAATGACTCCGCATGGAGCAGGCAAATGACTCCACTTGGAGCCGGCAAATGACTCCGATTGGAGCAGGCGAATGACTCCGCATGGAGGCGACAAATGACTCCGCATGGAGCCGGCGAATGACTCCGCATGGGGCCGCCGAATGACTCCGCAAGGAGCCGCCAAATGACTCCGCATGGAGCCGCCAATGACTCCGCATGGAGACGCCAATAGCTCTGCGTAGAGCCGCCAAATGCTAAATATATTGAGATGCATAACCAGTTGAGAGCATATATTCTCATGGACTATACAGATACCAACATGTGTGCGCCAGAAACATGAATTGAGCTAGTGGGTGGGAGGGTGGGAAGGTAATTGTTTGGGAACACATGTTCCGCAAGTTGCATGCTAGAAAGTCCAAACAGCAAATACATGCTAGAGACATTGTACAGGATTTTGAAGGGTGCGTGCCCACGTGACTCGCGCATGCGTGCAGGTTGGGCCAGCTCACTGGGCTGGCTGCTAACTCGCGTTAGCATGCTAACGCTCATTTAGCATCCCCCCACCTCACAACAGAGCAACCGAATTTTGGATTAAGCTGGGAGTGCCGATTCGAGCAACTAGTATGATGGCTCTGCAGCTGAGCCAGCAAATGACTCCGCTTGGAGCAGGCGAATGACTCCGCATGGAGCCGGCAAATGGCTCCGCATCGAGCCAGCAAATGACTCCGCATCGAGCCGGCGAATGACTCCGCATCGAGCCGCCGAATGACTTCGCATCGAGCCGCCAATGACTCCGCATCGAGCCGCCAATGACTCCGCATCGAGCCGCCAATGGCTCTGAGTAGAGCCGCCAAATGCTAAATATATAGAGATGCATAACCAGTTGAGAGCATAATTATAATTATTCTCATGGACTATACAGATACCGTATTTCCCCGTAAGTTAGTACGTACTAACTTTCGAACTTAGCAGCCACATGAGTACTACTTACTTTCAGGGGTGTTACTATCTTTCGGGGAGTACTATTTTATCGGGGATAAATGACACGCAGTGGGAAGCCTGCGCAACTCTAGTGTCTGTGCATATGATGTATGTACTGTACGGTGTCTGTACATGTAGGACGAGTACGAACTAATTATTTACTTACTATCTTTCGGGGGAACTGTCTTTCGGGGTGATAACCTCGGCAGTGGAAAGTGTATTTTTATAGGGGGTACTAAGTCATTGGGGAGAACTAACTTACGGGGAAATACGGTACTGCCATGTGTGTGCCAGAAACATGAATTGAGCTAGTGGGTGGGAAGGTAATTGTTTGGGAACACATGTTCCGCAAGTTGCACGCTCGAAAGTCCAAACAGCAATGACATGCAAGAGACATTGTACAGGATTTTGAAGGGCGCGTGCCCACGTGACTCGCGCATGCGTGCAGGTTGGGCCAGCTTGCTGGGCTGGCGGCTAACTCGCGTTAGCCTAAAGAGAAATAAAATAAAACAAGAAAGAGATGATGGACGAGGGTAGTTGCTCATTGACGGGTGACGTAGCCTCACAGTGAGTCCGTAGCCCAGAGCCAATTATTTTGACGCAAGTGGCGATGGACTTTCGTCTTGAAGGATTGGAGAGACTTCAACTGGGGCATCAGATCCGGAAATATGTCTTGCGGAAGCCTGTTCCATTCATCCACTACACCATAATATTATGGGAACGAACGCTGGAGAAAGTTGGGGGTCGTAGGGAGGAGCACTGCTTGTATTTGATGCTGGTGGCGGACACGGAGCTGCGACCTTGTCCGCGGGACGAGGCTAGCTTCCTGGCAAGGCGGCACGAGCGCAGAGAGGTCTGGATGGTCTTGAAGGTACATTAGCTTGTACATGTACGTGAGAGCGTACACTTGGCGGCGGGCAGCTAGGCTCTGCAGCAAGGCGTCAGGACCAATGATAGCAAGGGCCTTCCACTGTACTCGGTCGAGACTTTGCAGGTAAGAGTTGGCTGCGCCCATCCATATCAATGGTGTGTATTTGAGTACAGGGCGTACGGAGCCTCTGTACATTGTCAAGCTTCCTTCACGACCAAGGAAACTTGATGCTCGACACAGAAATCCTAGCCGGGCTACAGCACGAAGAGAAACATTGCAGAGATGGCGTTTGAAGGTGAGTTTGCTGTCGAAGGTCACTCCCAGGAGCTTCAGCTCGTCCCCGCAGGGAATATCATGGGCTCCGTATGTTAGGTCTGGGAGTGGCCAGGGGTTGCGGTGGTGGCCAATATGCAGCAGCTGCAACTTTGTCGGCTCAAAGCGAACTCGCCATTGTTCTCCCCAGCTACGCAATCGATCCAGGCTAGATTGCATGTCTTCAATACTGCCAACAGAGTCATCTCTGGATCGTATGATGGTGTGCAGCGTAGTGTCATCTGCGTACACACCCATTCGCGTTGATGGGGAAAGACAGGTCTCAGCATCGTTGACCTACATCAAGAATAAGGTGGGTCCCAGGATGCTGCATTAGGGTACGCCAGCTTTAATGTGGAATTGAGCAGATTCTTTTCCATTGACGATTGCCCTCAGTGTGCGATTCGTAGATAGTCCCGTAGCCACTGCAGCAGGCCAACGCCAATACCGAGAGTGGCCGCTTTGTGTAGGATGCCGGGGTGCGACACGCGGTCAAACGCACCAGCAATGTCGACAGCCAGAACGTGGGCACAGCCACCAGAACCAGCTGCCAGCTACCAGTCATGCCCAAGCACTGCTAGTAGGTCCGCTGTTCCAAGGCCACTGCGAAATCCCTACTGCTTGGTTGACAAGAGATGATGTTTTTCAAGGTGATTCACAATTTGGCAGTTCACAATACGCTCCATCACTTTGGAGATGATGGGGAGGAGGGAGACTGGGCGGTAATTCTTAGGGTTGGATAGGCTGCCCTTCTTGTAGACTGGCACAACTCGAGCACTCTTCCAGGCCTCTGGCTGAACACCCTTACGGAAGCACAGGGCGAAGAGGGACGTGAGAGGCAATGCAAGTTCATGGCAGCACTCTTTGAGCACTCGGGCAGGGATGTTGTCCGGACCGGACGCCTTGCCAACGTCGAGCTGGTTCAGGAGGCGTTTCACTGTTTGCAATACCCGAATCCACTTCCGCCTGCAGGCGGAAGTGGATTCGGGTAAGAGGGGTGACCCCGGGTTGGCCCCGGGCCCAAGTCATCATGTCCAAGGCTACATTTATTGGCGAAGTAGCGACCAAGGCAGTTTGCTTTGGCAGCATCCATACGGAGTTGGTGACCAGCGTCATCCACCAAGCATGGTATAGACAAGCCATGACTGGCGCCAGCAGCAGATTTGAGCACCGACCACCATTGCTTGTCTCTCAGGCCTCCTCCGCGTGACAGTTTCCGACGAACTCTCAGTTCCCAGGATGTGCGAGCTCGCACATTCGCGAGGATAGCATCTACTACTGAGCGCATGAAGCTAGCCTTGTGGGCTTCGCTGAAAATATTGCATATCCAGGCCTTCCATGCCTTGTCTTTAGTCTTCAATGCTGTGGTGCACTCAAGAGTCCACCATTTGGGGTCTGCTGGGCGGGTAACAAGCTGCTTGGCGGGGATAAATTTCTGCATGCCGCTGGAGATGACGTCACTTAGCTTCCTGCAGGACTCTTCAGGGTCGTCAGTCACAATGGTGGACCAGTCAGTAGTGCGATAGAAGGCCCGCAGGCGCCCCCAGTCTGCCTGATGGTAGCGCCAGACAGTCCTGGAGGTATCTTGCTCAGCATCAGGGTGTGATAAAAGTCGGCAAGTACAACCCCATGGTCAGAGCGACCAAGTGGCGCTTTGACAGTGGTGTCGATCGGAACGGGCATGTTGGAGAGGATGAGGTCCAGGGTGTTTAGACCCCTAGTCGGCTGCAAGACATGCTGGTGGAGTAATGCTCAGCACACAATTCTTCCAAGGCCTCTCCAGCTACAGTTGTTTTGCTGCTGCAGAGCCAAGTCTCGTGATGGACATTAAAATCCCCAGCTAGCACTATGTGAGTGCCGTGAGTGCGGGTCACGTCTAGTGCAGGTCCAAGATACTCAATCAGACAGGTGTCGTTGTCCGCACAGGATCCAGGCCGATACAAGGCACCAATAAAACAGATTGTTGCGTAGAAAGACTCACTGCGAGCCAGAGGACTTCGTGGTCAACAGTGGGAATCTGGTTGAGGTGCACCACTGGGAGGCCGGACTTTACCCATACAGCAATGCCGCCACCAAATGCATCCGGTCACGTCGGATGGGAGGCGAGTATCCTGGAAAAATCGTCTCAGAGGCTACGGTCTGGGCCGAGCAATTTGTTTCTGTGATAACCGCTATGTCGAAGTTATCGTCTAGCAGTGCATTCTGCAGCTCTCCCAGCTTGTTGGTGAGGCCAAATTCGTTGGTCACCAGCCAGCGGAGCGGCGGAGCTACACTGATCATTGCGGGATGCCAGCAGATGCCGTGCTGTCGCTGTCAGCACCATCAGATGTAGGGTCACCTCTCGCAGTGCCGGCAGGGTGTTGTCGGTTGGGCTTCGGACGGTCTCGGTACTCCCATGGCCGGGCGTATAGAGGCCTTGGCCAGAAGTCCGGAGTTGTCACGAGGCTCAGGTCTGTGGCATCTATACAAATCCTAGCTGA